CCAGATATTTGGAAGTCCCATTGGTGTGTTACCCACGCTGAGCCAATTTTCCTACCTGACTTTTACAGACATGAATACATGATCCTCAGATGAAACTGATGTGGCCGATAGTAGTGGAGATGGTGTACATATGATCATGAACTAACGATTCAACATGACCTAACAAATAGACTCAACTTGAGTGAAAAAGCCTATGGTTTATATTAATTAATTCATTTCTGTAACATCCATTGATGCACCACTAAGAATAAAATATTCTTGTAAAGATAACAAAATAGATTCCTAATTATAAATACAATGAAAGGAGAATTTAACATATCTGCAGGATTGTATATGAATCCCAAGTACTTTATTCCTATTTTTGTTCTCCTGAGTTTGTTCTTCCCCCAAACTATGACAGAACAGTCATAATTCATTTTTTAAAAGAAGATTTATTTTTGATTAAGTGATTTCATGATGTAACATGGTCTTAAACAAAAATAGAGATCAGTATGAAAATAAAACAAATTGTACACATTAAAATATCTTTCCGTCAAAGCATTTCATAATCATAAAAAATATAACACAAGAGTCAGGGGCTCAGTTGAGGATAAGAATACAGACTTCCCAGAAAATGAACAACTGATTCACAATTCAGTCCTAAGCTTTGTGTAATAGCACTCACGAAGCCTTTCTAGGATGGCTACCAACACCTATATTATGTGCCTTAAAAAAATGTAAATATAAGGTAAGACGAGGGCTATATAATCTTAATTATCATATCAAATACATCCCATTATTATTCTCTATTAAAAATTACACTGAATAAATACAAAGCTTAACTCAACTCAACAAAACCAGATGTGTAACTATTAACTGCTACCTATGACATAGTAGATGTGATGAGTAGGATTGGTGAAGACAAGTGGAAAGGCTTAAAAAAATACACCACCTGTGCTCTACTGAAATCTTAGAAATAAAATGTTTTTACAGAGCCTTAATATTAAAAAGGAAGATTATTATAAAATTAGATTAATACTTTCAGTAAGAGGCAAGAGAGATGCGTGCATTTTTATTCATTTGTTTTGGAACGCCTGCATCCCTACTATAAAAACATGTACTCCTATGCACTTTCCAGTGTGCTAACAGCCCCCATATTTCACTTGTGATATTGCATAAAGAAAAAATAAGCTGTAATTATATCTTTTAGGGCATTAAAGTCCTAAGAGAACATTCTGTCTTGTGTGTTTCCTGGTTCACCCTCCAAAGGTGTTTCTTGAACATTACCCATTCCTTTTACAGAAGGTGATAATTACCAAAATTTACTGATGATTTCTAACCTACACCAGTAATAGCGGATTCAGTTTGAATCATACAGAATACCTATAACACTCCTCGGGTTGTAGTATCTTACAGGGAAATTGGGTTTGAAGATATCACCTGCCCAAGGCCACCAGACATAAAAACCATATGCAGCTAGAGCCATCCTGTTCTGCTGAGCTATTCAATCACGAAATCAGAATAAAGTGCCTTGGACATCAAAATCAAAAGCAAATGTCCCTGCTGTCTTGATTTAACTTCTCCAGTAGGAAGCACTCATTAGGTCTCCTTTTGCAATTCAGTAACCTCACACTTAGGAGTTTGCTTTCTAGATTAATAGGGAATGTTTAAATCAACAATAGGTAGCTGATTTGAGAATGAGAATGTCTCAAAAGTTATGCTAATGTCAGCTGTAAAAACAAATTAAGCCCGGGAGGTGGTGGCACACACTTTTAATCCCATTACTTGGGAGGCAGAGGCAGGCAGATCTCTGTGAGTTGGAGACCAGCCTGGTCTACAAGAGCTATTTCCAGGACAGGCTCCAAAGCTGTACAGAGAAACCTTGTCTCAAAAAAAAATTAAGCATAATGAAATAAAAGCACTTTTTATTTCAGACAATGTCTGATAGTGGCAACAACAGTTTTCAAGTTAAAAAAATGTAATAATTTAATGCAAACTGTTGAACTTCCTGACCAAGCAATGGTTAGCCTTAACACTGTGGGACTAAGTGACATTTTGCAATACAGAAAACACTAGCCTACTGAAATCATACAAAAGGGTATTTCCCACCAAGTAGATGGCCAATCAGTGCCTTCACTAAACATGAAGGCATTGTTCTCAAAATTCAGAAACCAAAATGGACCGTGTTCCTACCCCCTAACCCCTCAGCGTGCTCGGAGTCTTGTTTCATTGTTCCCTTGGCTATGCTGTGATCTTAAATGTGCCTTCACTCCTAACCCTGATTGTTCTGATAGAGCCAAACACATTCATTATATCCATAATGCCAGTTCCTTGGAATGTACTTGCTATTCTTGAATCTTGAAAGCAGTTAGCAGTAGATTACCAGGCTGCACAACTGCCAGGCGTCTCTTTTCTGCCTTTTGTTTTTAATCACCCTTTTAATGGTAGTGGTTGGCCTTGAGTGACAGCTCAGAAACCTTGAATGTCTCTGTCATTCCTTTGTTTCTATGCTAGACAAAATATCTGGAAATGCAACAGAACTAACTACAAAAGCATATAAATTCCTCCGCCTATAATCTGCTGGCAAGGGACATTCCCGTTAATTTAAAGTCAAGTCACATGGAAGTAGGATGGCTGACTGAGGATGCCACTCACCATAGCTGACCTGAGTCTCAACTGTAGGTGGGGGCTTAGGTTGTATTCTTCAACTGCATGCTGCTTCTTATGTGGGGTTAGTGCCGGTTAATGATAGTGCAGACGCATTTCCTGCCCCTGGAATTTCCTGAATGAAGTTAAGTTGAATGAAACTCTAGACTCTTCATTATAAGTTATGTTCCTTGTTAGAAGTAGCCTTATGCAAAATGCAGAAAAAGCCATTTGAATGAGTATAAGGAAGACAGGAAGGAAAACAGAAGCTGCGGCTGGTCCCTTTCCTCCATGTCTCTGGGATTCAGCTGCCTGGCCTCTGAAGACTCAGGTTAATCAAAAATTAATGATGGGAGCCAGGGCTCTGGTTATTGCCTTTTCCATACTCATGCTTTTACATAATCCCCAAGAAGGCCAAACTCTCAGGTCGTGCAAAGCCACCAAACACCATCTGATTCATCTTCAGCTCCCCCCACGGGCAGTGAATGTGAACACAGCATGCGTGAAGAGCCTTTTCCGTGGACATACACCGCATGCGTGAAGACCGTTTTCCATGGACATACTCCTTTCTCCATGGCCTTTGCAGGAGTGTTACGTTTTAAGTGTGCAAGGGAAAGTGACAGGGGAAGTAAAGCATCTGAAAGTAGAGTATATCAGTACAAACGTTAACCTTCATATTTCTGGAGATAGAACAGGATTGTGACAACAAAGTAGAAAGATTCATCTCACCAGTTCTCATGAAATCAGCCTGATCCCAAGGCAAGCTTGACTCTTCTCCTGGACCAAGCACTGAGGACGGCAAGCAAATGCACTTGAAAGCACTGTGCAAACACCCATGCACTGTGCAAACATACCCTACAGTCACCACCTTCATGGCATTTTCATCATGATGGCAGTGAAGGGGCCTCAGTTCCCTTTCTTCAGTAAGACTAAAATTTAATTTAATGAGAATGTCTGGAGGAGCTACACTTTGATTTTGCAAAATGCATTTCCTTTCTAGTTCAATTGTGTCTTTTATATTTATTTATTACAGAGTGACCATTAAAGTATAAATACAACATATACTAGAAAAATGTGACTTCCATTCATAAGAAAAATGTGATTCCCACATGTATTTTGGGCTCAGGAACTGTGATATTTTACACTGAAGATGGAATGTATGTGTAGTGCAGGGACTGTAGGAAATCTTTGATAATTTGAAAACCTTTGACTTACTCTCTCACAGCTTAGTCCCTACCTACAGGCTTTAAACCTTCATTGTATGAGTGCATTTTGGGTCTCAAGACTTACCAGCAATGATATTCTATGACACCTTGTTGTTACCAAGAGAAATAGTACTTGTATGATGACATTTTTTAGTTACATAGTTTCACATACATGAAGCTGTAACCAAGCTTCTGAGGTGAACAGGCTATTTTCTATTCATTCATGAGATGTCTTGGATTTAAATGCCCCCTCTAGTAGTCTATGAGCATCTTTCTGAAGGCCAGATTTAGAATCTTGTAGCTCCATCAGCAAATAGAGTGACTAGCATGGAGGGAATGCCAATAGTGTGCCTGTGCTCTGAAAGACACATGGGGTATCAAATTGTCTTTTATATCATTAGTAGCATCATTTATAAATCTCTTAAAACAAAAGCAAAGAGCCAAGTTATCGGGGTTCACAGTCCAGAAGAACATCTTTATGAATATTTCTAGTTGTGGAGTACAGTAACATCCAATTTATTCTGTGGATGTGTTGTTTAACTTTTATAGAGCTATTATTTTCTGCCTCTTGTTGTACCCATAAAGAATAACAGATAGGTTATTATGATTTTCTGATATGCTAGCTACAATTTTGATAATTCCCAATTCTCAGAACAGTGTTAACTAGACTAAATCCTCTACTTTAAGAATATCCGGATATGTTTAAAACAAAGAATGTCTAGATACATTTAAAACAGTTATTTGAGAAGAAGTCAGTTGCCTTATCATCAACAAAAAATAGCATTAATTAGAAATAAAGGGGTACATTTTATTTCAAATATCTTCTGCTAGCAATATGGCATGTGGTGGAAGGCAAAGTGTCTCAAACCAAATGAACACTAATGTGGTCTATAAACGTATTTCTGAAAGAAAGGCAGCTTTCTCTTAACAAGCTCCTATGACAGCTGTTAGGGGATGCTCTGATGCATCCAGGGGTGACTCTTTTCTCTTTTGGTTTTTCGAGGCAGGGTTTCTCTGTGGCTTTGGAGCCTGTCCTGGAACTTGCTCTGTAGACGAGGCTGGCCTCAAACTCACAGAGATTCACCTGCCTCTGCCTTCCGAGTGATTTTAAAAGTGTGTTAATGTGCTCTGTTTTCCTCAGGATGAAAAAACACAAACAAGTAAAAGAAGTTTGCAAAAATTAAATATATACTTGTATTCATGACAAATAAGTACAAACTAATAATTCCAGTCAAAAAGTTGTAGTCGTTCTTTTTTTTCTGGCCCAATTATGGTATACAAATAAATGTTCTGTCTTATCTTTTCTAGGTTTCTATAGTATTTTTCTCCTGGAACATTTTCCCACATCCAGTACTTTAACACAATAACACAACATGAGTGTCATTCCTCTTGAGGGTCCCAACAGTAAACACAGCTTAACTAGCAGGAGAGTAACTGTTCTTACAAAACATCTAAAAGAACTGTGCCCCATGAAATGTAAAGTCACCCACATCCCACAACAGGAAGTCCATGATACTCATAAACAAGATTCTCAAAGCAATATGCAGATAATGCCTAGAACCCCCCCCAGACTGGCAAGCTAAATGTTAATCCAATGGTTGTCCCACCCTCAATTCCAAGTCTCTGTATCGTGTGTCTGGTTAGTGATAACATAAATCGAGGAACAAACAACGGCATGGGACAGTCCCCAAAGCAATTAAAATGAAGGATATCCTCTCATCAAATTAGGAAGTCTTGTCAGTGATGTCATGCAGTTTCTGAGAGACCATAGAAAATATTTTCTTGATATTAATAAGAAAATTATGCATCAGTGAAAATGCAGGCTTAGAAATATAGTACTGAGAGTTTCAATTCATGGTATCTTCACTGATGAGGGAAAGTGGAATTCTTACTACTAAGAGAGATGATCTCTCCAGCACTGTTGATGGCTCCCTAACCAAGCTTTGTGTTTGATGGTGCTGTACAAATAAAAAGCAGTGGGGGAATACGAAATATCTGTAATAAATGCCATCCGGTAAAGTATTTGATGGATGGAAGAGAATCTAATGCATTTTAAATAAATGCATATCATACTATCACATATTGTGAATCTTAAAAAATTATTACTTAGATGCACAGTCCTTGCAGTGGTTGACATGGCACTGTGAAGGGAGTTTGATTTAGAAGCTACTTCTATTGTTCTGGTCAAGTGATGGAGCTGCTGTTAGCCATATTATAATGTCCCTTCGACTTTGGTACGTTCAGTGCAAAATATTTGGGGGAATTTTTTTAACCTTTATAAAAATAAAAGGCCCTTTAGTTCCCTTGAGCATGTTTAAAAGGATACATAGCAAAATGCCCGAGTAAGCATGGAACATGAAAATGGAGAGGTGGTACATACAATATGGTATGTAGGTCCTTATATACATTTTAAAGAACAGAAATACAATGAACCTATAAAAATAAACAGAACTCACTGTGTACATTTTCCTGATATGCTGTGATTAATTGCTAGTTATTTTAAAATTGTTTTCATGCATTGTAAAGCATAAAATCTGTCATTAGTAATTCATTGAATAACAGTTTGTCTTCAGCCATAATTACACACATACCACTTGCATATACATTGTTACAGACCACCTTCTTGCAAATCTTTAAAGTTACTTCATACTGACTTGGTTTCATTTTCACTCTTGTCCTGTGAATGTTGAAACCTATAGTGCACACCATGCAGGCACTGGTAAGCAAGAAATGAATATTCTGTTATAACTTAGGGCTTAAACAAATGTACTTCCGGGAAATATATATTTTTATGATACTCTTTCACTTGCGCTAATTTAGAGATTGGGTCAAGTGCTGCCAGTTTGGCTTGAACTATATTTATGGGAGAGTTTCAAGATTCTCTCAAGTCCCTAAAGGTCACCATGGAGTTGATCATGTGCAGGGTCACCTTCATCTTGAAACATAACATTTGGAAAAGGTTTGGCAGTCAAGAACTGTTGATTGAAAGACTGTTGGGTTGTTCCACGGGCACCGAGCTCACCCCAATCCTTCCAAGAGGACACGCAGCCAGTCCCCAAACACACGAGCGCTGAGGAGCAGCACTCAGTTTGTTCTACTGGAACCCTGGGCTTCAGACTACCAGAGCTCTGTCACTCTTCAGAGGCCGGCTTCTGAAACTGCCTGTCCACGAAGAGTTGAGCAGCCTCCTCCCGGGTCACTCAAGTCCAAACGTACTGGTCTCTTCAACTGCTGTCAAGAGTTTCTCATAAAGCATAGAAAAGGAAGGGTATGGAGGAAGATCCAGGCGGTTAAAGCAAGTATGGGCTCTGCAAACAGAAGAAGCATATAGTTTAGCAGGGGGTTGCAAAAATGAAACAGCATTCATGTGATCATGTGTGCACACGTGGGTGACTGTGAGTGTGCTTGTGTGTGTGTACCCACAAGAGTGTGTTTCTCTTTCATATTCAGACTTCTTTGCTACCATTTTCACAGCGATTTCTGGAAAAGTGAGGATAGTTCAACTTTAAAATTCAGAGTTACATTTTTCTTAGGACACATACAAATTTTCTTTACATGTCACCCTTTAGAAGGCCTATTCCATGCCTCGTATTACTTGCTGAGATGTATGAGAATGCAAAAGCCAAGTTTAGTCTTTTTTTTTCTTCCTCTCTGTTCAAAGACCAGAATAAAGGCTTTTGCAAAGTGATTCACTTTGATTCACTTCCAGCACTGCCAGTTGCCTGGATGCCCCTTGGATAGTCTGTGGCTTGGCAGTTTTTCATTTTGTTGGGCAGGAAAGAGCAGCAACTGTTTCTAAAAGCCCAGACTGTGGTTCAGGGTTTGGGGAAAGTCCCTGGCTAGACTTGTCTATGGAAGTCAGTAGACATTGTGAGTGCTTTGAATTCCATGCTATAACCTGCCTTCTCCCTGTTCACAACACAGAAAAAAAATGCCCATTAAATCACAGTTCTGTGCAGCATTCTTTTTAGAAATACCCGCTCTTTTGCCAAGATCGGGGGCGGGGGTAGGGGGAGTTCCTGTTATTTGCACCTGACTCACAATAGAAAAAAAATTAGTCTCCAAATAGTACATCTTATCAGGGAGCAGATCTGCACTTTTGACACGGGATAGGAAGTGCCCTGTCCTGAATGTACAACAGTTTGTTTGTGGGGGTTCAGTAGTTTAGACTTAAGAAGGAAAACACAAAAAGACCCTGAAGTAACATGAAACTTGAGGAGCTGTGATTATTAGTCAGATATTTGTATTAAAGCAATGTGCAAATCTTATCGTTAAAGAGTCATTTTTGACTTGTGAGATAAATATAACTGCTGTTCCGATAGGCAATACAAAATGGGGGTAAGATTAAAACCTTGGAGCTGGGAAATTGTGTTTGAGTCCAACTTCCACCACCCACAACAACTGTGTGATTTGGAGTGTCATATTAAAATTGTCTTATTAGAATTCTGAGACTCAAACTTATTACCGGTTAAGGGGGGGTAATGTAATAAGACAGTTTATCTCAGAAGGGTGTGGGGATTCCCCGAAATAACAACACGATTCAGAGAATGGCTGGCACACAGTGTGTGACTACACAATAGTAGCTGCATTGTTAAATATGTTTCCTTGTCACCAAGAGGACGTTACCCTAATTGCCTTCAATAAATTGCCCAAAGATAACAATGACCCACAGAAAATATGGCATAGTAAAGAGAAAATAAAGCAGGTGTGTGTGAACATGACTTATAGAAACAGGGTTCTGAGGGCTCTGTTAAAATAACAGTGAAATATTAAGGCTCAGGTTTCCCACTCCTGATACCTCAAACTCTTAGGCACATTGGTGGAAATCACCTCATCAATCTTTACAGGCAAACTCAAAGACAAACAAAATAAACAAACCACCAAACATCCTAGAATTGTATTTGTCATAATTCTTCTGCTATCTCCTTATGATGGAGCCCAGACCTAGACCCCAAGGCAAAGATTTTACTTAGTGTGCCAAAACAGAGTCCTGTAGATAGCTTAAAATCTATCTGGTGTGAAACTCTGAAATAAGAAATATAGCTGGGCTGGGTGGTGGTGGCACAAACATTTAATCCCAGCACCTGGGAGGCAGAGGCAGGTGGATCTTTGTAAGTTTGAAGCCAACCTGGTCTTCAGAGCGAGCTCCAGGACATCCAGGGCTGTTACATAGGGAAACTCTGTCCCCCCCAAAAAAAACAATAAGAAAATAATAATAATAAAAGCATATGGTTTCGGTTTTTTCCAGAGATGGTGAGGGATAAATATAGAAGTGAAATATGTTTTACACAGAGTAACATGTCAGGCTTTGTGTGACAACCAGGGAATATTTATTACCCCATTTGATTGACATTTGTAGACACTTCACTGTTTCCTTTCATTCTTGATTTAGCAAGTGTACTTAGTCTTAGCATTCACTGTTTTGTGATCTTCACCTTTTCCTTTGCCTATCTTTCCTTTTTAATGCTTTTATTGCGGTAAAATTTACCATTGTAGCTGTTTTTAATTGTTTCGTGGTATTAAGTGCATTTACATGGTATGATGGTTACCACTGACTGTCAACCAGGAAGGATGGAGAATTACCTAGGAGACTTGGGTGTCTGCAGAGATTATCAAGGTCAGATCAGCCTCTGGGCCTGTCTACGAGGGATTATCTGGATTGGATTAGTTGAGAAGGAAGTCCCGCCCTCACCGGGGAGGCACCAAACCAACGTCCCAAGTCTTGGACTGAGTAAAAGGAAGAAGAGCTGAGCACTAGGAATCCTTGTTCTGCTCCCTGGCTGTGGATGCAGTATTATCAGCCACCTCAAGCTCCTGCCACCAGGGCAGATGTGTCCCTTGACCTGTGAGCTAAGACCCCCTCCCTTACATGCTTTTGCCAGGGCTTTGTAGAGCAGCAGCAGGAACGGGAGCTAAAACTCAGCGATCAGCAACCGGCACCACCTGCCAGCTCCACAACACTGAGAACAACCGAAACCGAGTCCATCAAGCAGTAAATAGATCCTGCTTGTCCTCCCCCTGGAACGCTCTGTTCTGCTTTCTGTCTATGAGTTTTACTATTCTGTGTACTTTAAGTAGAGTCTTGCTTATTTCAATTTGCATAATGTTTTTAACACTCATGTTGTAACCACCATGGCACAAAATTCCCTTCATTCTTAATGCTGAACAATAACTCCACTGTGCATATATATACCATGATTTGTTGGCCTATTCATCCATTGATGGACACAAGCTTGTTTCTCACCTCTGGCTATTATAAATGCTGTTGCGATGAACCTATGAACACATACACACACACACACACACACCTGTTTAAATCTCTCAGGGAGAGATCTAGACATACAATTATGGGACATGATGTATTTAGTATTTTAAGAAACCACCAGTGTTCCATAATGGTCTCATATTTTCCATTCACACCAGCAGTACACAGGAGTTCTAATCACTTGATATTTTCGCTAACATTAATTTTCCACATCTTATTTACTGTATCAGTTGGGGTTTCTATTGCTAAACTGAAACAGCATGACCAAAGCAAATAGGAGAGGAAAATATTTATTTAGCTTATACTTCCATATCACTGTTCATTGGTGGAAGCCAGGACAGGATAACTCAAACAGGATGGGAACCTGGAGGCAGAAGCTGATACAAAGGCCATAGGGGGGTACTGCTTACTGTCTTACTCAGCCTGCTTTCTTAAAGAACCCAGGACCACCAGGCCAGGGATGGCACCACCTAAAATGGCCTCCCCCATCAATCACTAATTAAGAGAATGCCCCACAGGCTTGTCAGCAGCTCATCTTATAGAGGCATTTTCTTAATTGAGACTCAGATGACTTTAGCTTTATGTCAAGTGAACAGCAAACTATCCAGCAATTTACATTTCTTAATCTTTAGACTAGCCACCTTAATGGGTATGACATCATTCATTTTCTGAAGTGTTCATATTGATTAGTCTAAATGTTACATAATAAAAATGGATTCTCTTGCTGGATTTGAGGAAGCAAGCTGCCATGATGCCCAGAACCTAAAGGGATGAATGTCACAATAACTTAAAGGAGCTTGGAAGCACACCCCTCCCTGGCTGAGTCTTCAGATGAGAAAGAACCCTAGCAGGTACCTGATTCCAGTCTTGTGAAGCTGAGAAGATTTCACTAAGCCATGCCTGACCCCTTGCACATTTTAAACCACTAGGTTTGCATGATTTTTAAGTGACCAGAAACTAGTAATAAGTGTCAAGGTCATCAAACATTCAAGCAAAGGTATAGAATGTGATGATGACAATATGATGTGATCATGCATCAAGGGCCAAGGCTGAAGCAAGGCAGACCAGTAATTGTGCATGTCTCTTTCAGTTTCTGTAGTATCTTCACTATTGTAGCTTATCCAGGAGTTTCCACAAGCCAAGGGGTTATTTTCAATTCTCAACACAAAGGGAAGGACTGAATAATTGTGTGTGTGTGTGTGTGTGTGTGTGTGTGAGAGAGAGAGAGAGAGAGAGAGAGAGAGAGAGAGACAGAGACAGAGACAGAGAGATAGAGACAGAGACAGAGAGACAGAGAGAGACTGTTGCATAGGGTAGATTGGAACATATAATGTAGTTCAGGCTGGTCCTGTACTCAAGGCAAACAAACCTCTTATCCTTCCAAGTAAGCTACCATTTCATCTTGAAATAATATTTTTTTGCTTCTTCTTGGTCATGAGACATAATCACCATTACTGCTCCATAATCTAATGTCATCATTGCTTCTCAAGTTACATCTGGTTGCATAACATATAGTTATCATAACCTAACTTTCCTTCTGAGTAAACACAGCCTCTAGAGAAGGTCTCATGAGTCTAGAGACAGACAGTATTCTGGAGGGAGAAGTTATATGGAAAGATTAAATGGTTTTCCGAAGGTCAAAGCTAAGCAAGTGGTCCAACAAAAAAATAGTACCTCAACCTCTTTGGTCTCCTCAAGGAAGACCAACATCCAAATGAAAACAGGGAGACCTTACTGTTCACTGGCTGAATTCTTTGGTTCTGTTAGTACCATGCAACCCTTGACTGTGGGCTGTGAGTTCCCAGCACTCCCCAAGAATGTTGCACTATAGTCACAATCATCCCTGAAAAAGGATTAGAGAAAAAAAAAGCTTTAGGGGATTTTTAAGGAGCTAGTCAGTGACAGTATACAGCCTCTCTGGTAACAATGGTCAAGTTTTGGTCAATCCAGAAGATCCTGGGAGATACCAGGGGATTTTTCAGTGACCAAGCTAGCAAGCTGAATCTCAGACTTATCAGAGAACAGAGGTACTCCATGGGGCAT